TATATATATATATATATATATATATATATATATATATATATATATATATATATATATATATATATATATATATATATATATATATATATATATATATATATATATAAAATGTTGTGTGTGAGAGAGAGAGAGTGTGTATATATATATGTGTGTGTGTGTGTGTGTGATTTTTAATGTATGCATATGTATATGTATATATATACATGTGTGTGTGTGTGTGTTTGGTGTACTACCATATACATGTGGAGTCAATGGTGCTTCATTTTGGGGTGTGAGTGTCGCGCTGTTTATATCTATTGAGATTTGTTTGTGATATTTGCGTGGTGTATGCCGATGCCATGCCTGTTCTGTATACGGCTCACATGTAGTGGTAGCTGACTGTATGCGTCATGCGTCCATATGTTGTTCAAAGAGCACTCAATGCAAGCGGCTAGAATCCATGTATGTTGTATTTGCCTGTGGATGCTTGCAAGTCTTTTTTAAATATGCTGTATGGGTCATGGGTATCTGACCGAGCGAAATTCACCTGTTTGTGACCCGTGATCGAACGATATTCAAACTGGGATGAAACGGTGACTGTATTCTATTCAACATTTGCAAAAAGATCAGAATATACATTAATCAAATGTTCTAGAACCCCCTTCTTGAAATTGGCACTTCTGTCCCCGATGTATTCGGGATGTGGGGAATCTGCATCATGTGCAGTGATAGTACCGTCCTACGCGATTGTCGCTCTCGTCATTCTAGTTTGATCTACATACTGCCATGTTATTCTGTACGCTATATCTCATCATCTCACGCGATCATCTCTCTCGCTATAGTTGCACGCTATATCTCATCATCTCACGCGATTGTCTCTCTCGTTATTGTTGTGAATTGACTACCGCAGTGCGTTCTCCATGGCGAACAGGGTGTTATCACTCCACACAACTGTCACTGTCGTCATTGTACTTTGATCAAAATATACTGTCATCATAGTCTCTACGACAAACAGTGATGTTATCACCGCATGCAGTTGTCACTCCCACTATTATAGCCAGTCTAAATATGCTATGCTCATAATCAGTGATGTTATCCCCGCATGCAGTTGTCACTCCCACTATTATAGCCAGTCTCAATATACTATGCACATAATCAGTGATGTTGTCACCGCATGCAGCTGTCACTCCCATCAGTATATCCTGTCTAAATATACTATGCACATAATCAGTCATGTTATCCCCGCAGGCAGTTGTCACTCCCGTCATTATAGCTAGTCTAAATATACTGCCATGGTGTGTCCATCATAATCAATGTTGTCACTCCCATCATTGCAACAACTAGTCTAAATATACTGCCGTGATCCCTCCACGACAATCAGGGATGTTGTCACTGCACGCAATGGACTGACCATCACAGTGGACAACACAGACGCCGAGGGTCGCCTTATTTTGTGCGACGCTCTACACTATGCTGAGGAGGCGTACAAGCCCTCGGCCATCATGAGTGTGGCCACCCTTACGGGCGCTATCGATGTTGCACTCGGTTGGTAGACGTGTGTATATGTTGTCGTACGTTTGAGTGTGTGTATGTATGTCCGTGGGTATGTGCGGGTGTATGTGTGTTTTGTGTGTGTGTGTGTGTGTGTGTGTATCGTGGGGTTTGAAATTCTGGTATTTCTGTGCGCCACTATGCAAAGGAGACGTTCGAGCCGTCGACTATTCTGATAGTGTGCGCTGAATATATATGTCGCTTAACCTTGGTGCCCGTTTCTGAGCTAGTGTGTACATGTGTGTGTGTGTACATACCTGTGTATATGCATACATGTTTATGTACGTCAGGGTGTGCGTATAGTTGGCCTTTTTGAGCGACATTCTACACTCTAAAGGAATGAACTATAAAGCATCGATCTGACACGTGTAAACCACACCTTGTGGCTGCTAATGCTAGAGAGCCTAGATACTCTGGATATACAATGTTATCGTACAGCGGGTTTGTCCTCTGCATCCAATAGGATACAGGCTGTCTGATTGTCGTATAACTGGTTTATACAACCTTACCCTCGCGCAGGTGTTGGTGCGGCGAGTGTGTTCTTCAAATCCAATCGGATGCAGACAGTCTGATTGTCGTATAACAGGCCTGTTCCATCTTATCCTCACTCAGGTGCTGGTGCGGCGGGCGTCTTCTGCAAGTCTAACAAGATGTGGGATTGCCTGGATGACAGCGGCTATGTCACCGGGGAACGACTGTGGCGCATGCCCACGTACAACCACTACGACAAGCAGATGACCGGACAAGTCTCAGATCTCATCAATGCTGGCGGAAGGTCTGCGGGCGCCTGTACAGGTGTGTGTACCTTACCACTACACACGGATGTTGGGTGTACGGTACATTTAGTCACGCACCAGTTTTAGTTGATTTTCCTGGCAGATATCTGGAGATTTAGTCTCCGTATAGGTCTCAATCTGTATTCACTGAGCTGGCTCTCACACTATCGCTTATGGGATCATAGTGTACTCCGGTAACAGTACATATACAATCATACATATCGATGCATGTCCATACAACAACCACAATTGAAACCTCTGGCGTGTGTGTTCAAACGTTCCTATCTGCCTGGTACAACAACCTTTACCTCTGTGCCTTCCCTTGTGGTATGTCTCCCCTCTCAGCGGCCGCTTTCTTGCGAAACTTTGTGTCACCAACGACACATTACGCCCACGTGGACATTGCCGGGGTGATGCACTCGCCCAGCGATGGCAAGACAGGTATGGACAAAGCACCTCTGAACTGCACGTGTGCATGTACGCACATGAAAATGGAAGTTTTTAAGTGTTGTATCTTTCGGCCTACTCGTGTATATCTGTGTCATTATGAGTATATTTTCAGATATGTTGCAAGCCGAATTTCCCGCGTGTCTGTACATATAAGCATATTTTTATACTAGGTTGCTAGGTGGAACTACTCTCGTGTACGTGTACGTACATACATTCACTGTGCACAGCTGTTCAAGCACTTTAGTTCCAATCCCCCAAGACTGTCTATTATCGGATCTAATACATCATCTTCTATTTCGTGAATTTCAGTCTTTGTAAAGACAAGTCGCTTAACTCGTATGTGATCACATTTCTGGTAGGATGTGCGAGTCCTTACCTCAGCGCCGGAATGCAGGGAAGACCGACACGCGCCTTTGTAGCGTTCTGTAAGAAGTGGGTAGAAGATCAGGTACAGAAAGTCTAATCGGCAGTATTATGCAGTCGACAGACATAGTTCAGATTGAGTTGGTGTCACATGCAGCTGAGGGATATAAACGTAGGCTGAGCATTTGAAGCGAGACGCTATTGGTATTATTAGGAGCTCGCACCAGGAATAAATGGCATCATAAGATAAATTGGCCCCATCACCAATGATGTCAGTCCCAGCACCAATGATGTCAGTCCGTATAGGCAAAATAATAGTTGTCTAAAGGGACATGCAATAATTTCGTATTTTGTGGAATAGATCACTCGTGCCGCGCACGCTTGGTCGGATGGATCCGTAGAATACGTGCACGAAATGGTATCTGCAACCTTTTCAATGCATTTGGACCTAAGAGCTCATATGGAAACATATCTACGACAGGTAGATAAATGTTTTCGTTGCACAAAAACCTGAGGTATCGTCATATATGCCAGCGTCGAGCAGAAGCACTAATATCAAATTTATGGTCAAAGATACGAGGCCGAGGTTTGATGGATCCCACCATGCATGAGATAGAAGAATAAACGTTTATTTGGTTAGAACGCCATCTTCGCCCCTCTGTGTGTGTGCGTTGACCGTTGTCTTGCATCATGAGGGCGGCTTGTCTACAGCTACCCCAGATTGAATAGTGTTGGGAATGCTGAAGCACCTTCTGCCTGTCGTAAATCATATGCTGATGTGCCTGAGTTCATACAACGTATATATAAATTATCCCATGTCCAACTGCTGTTCACATGGAACCTTTCTCCACTTCAGTCTTCAAAGTTCTCATTTGAATATATAAATATATATATATATATATTATATGTATATATATGTATGTTTATTTATATATATATTATAATATTATATTGTATTTTATTTATATATATATATCAAAAGGACACCCATCGGCACATCTTATTCCAAAGGCAGAACCATAAATCGCCGTACGAAAATACTGTTCGTGATATACACAAAATAAAGTTGTGTACTCTGTCCCTGATAGTCTATAAGATCCTAAAAATAGTATGTTTTTTTTTTGCTCAGACCAAGTGACACCCCCTAGCGGCTACCAACAGTAGCCCCGCAAATTCCGCTGTGTGATTTGTGATTTCGGCTGCGCCTCCTTATTTCGCGACTCTTAAAACAGCAGAGCATTTGTCGATTGGCGTGTTGCATAGACCTGTGCTAGCTCTGAGGCACCCACTTGGGGAGGCCGATGGCTTACGACCCAGTGTGACTCGGCAAGAACGCAATAACCGGAATAATCTGTGCATTTTTGTGCAGCTGGACAGCAGATTCTAGCCTGCTGAGACAGCCACGATCACCAATGGTAGCCCGTAAACAACACCGGATATAGCCGCGTGGGTGCATTCTTATGGCCAAGGTAGAGGCATGAGCCGCACGACCGACTGGGTATTGGGGTGTGGTTATGTGCATCACCCGGGCGCTGGGGGTGGTCCTTCCTGCCCAGTATTATGACTGTGCCTGTGTTTGTGCTGAGGACAGAATAAGAGAAGTTAGGAAATGAGGTTGATGATCATTCTCGCTTGGCCGCGATGTATGACAGAAGATATCAAAGCGGATTCCTAGGGGATGCTACCATGGGTACGAGCAAAGGCGGTGTGTGTGATATGGATCCACTTAGAATTGTGGTCCGCAACATGGTAGTTGAAGGCCCAGATCACAGTTATCTCTACCGATGGCCAGCGATATTTAGTCTAGGCCAGTCACGCCCTAGAAAAATTTCAAACGGTAGCACTTCCGTCTAAGCTCAATCGATCCGTTAGCCGGATTACATAGGATCTCTAACCGCGTCACTCGTGACTGTTCTTTAGAATAAAACTTATGTAGTGCGTATATGTGCACCTGATGTTCAGGTCAACACCTTGTGCTCAATTTCCAAAAGTTTTGTATTCTCTTTTATTATTCTCTGTTGACTAATGGCTTGGTTTCAACTACAAGCCTATCTCGGATCACACCAAACACGACCGTCCGATACACTCACAACAACACGATACGACTAACCATCAGCACACGAACACTTACCGCCGACTTGGATTTCTTGGCTTTTTTCTCCTTCTTATCCTTCTTTTCCCGTTTGACCTTCTTCCTGTGGGGTTCTCCACTCTCAGAGTGACCTCGAGGATCGTCCCTGGTATGTGTACGGTGTCCTCCGGTAGCGTGGTGTCGGTGGCTATCAGTGGCGGGCCGTGCCCCGTGTCTATCCGTCGCCATGGGTCTCCTGCCGGCCGATGTGCCTGGCGATCCTTTACATATGGAACATGTGTACGGGTTTAGTTTATAAAATCAGAATCAGCCGACGTATGTATTTCTGTATAATGATTAACGAAGCATAGACACGCCGCGGGTTGTATACGGGTTGCACCAGATGAAATACTCTCCACCACGTATGCATATTCGTGAGTGTGAAGTGACGATAGTGCTGATAGTCTCTAGCCCTCGCAGCAGTCCATTTGCGTCCTTGAAGAGAGTCCAGCAGCCACGTGTTCGAACTGAATGTTGAGTGCTGAATTAACGAATTTACTCGCCACATATGCAATTTTGTTTACCACACGGGTGGATCTGGAAACAACCAAATGTGAATCTATATCTAGAATGCAATTCGCTGTATACCAAATCTGCTTTGGATAAATATACTTGAGTCTGTGGACGACATTTGTGTGTATTACAACACAAGTAGTCATGCTTATGACATACGTGGATATGTTTACAAAATACGCAGATCAATCTGACAACATATGTGAATTTTAGGGTTTAAGGTTTAGAGTTTTGGCTTACAACATACATGATTCTATTTGACTTAAGAAGTTCTACTGATGACATACGTAGTGCCATTTCAAACATACGAAGCCCCCTGGTAGTAACTATCACCGTCATAATCCGTCTACTTCACACTCTTTGTATAAGTTGCGTCACACAATAGTATTAATGTGGATGTGCTCACAGCAAGTGGTTCTATCCGACATAAGTAGCCGTGCCGGTGATAAACGCAGATCTGTTAAGTACACGCGGATCTGTTAAAAATTTATATAGGCCCATCTTATAGCATATATGAAATGCGCATATAGCATACATGATTCTCTTTATATCACAGTAGTCCTACTGGTAACACATGTAAAACAGTTAGCAACATACGTGGTTCCAGCTTGAAAACACTGGCCATCCGCGACGGATCAAGTGGTTCCAGGGCCCGGTTTGACATGTTGGGGGTCTCAATCAAAGAGTACAGCCATGACTGCCTCTCGTACTTCTCAGCCTCTAATAAAGACGAACATACAACATGCGATAGAAGACATTGTAAGTTCTTACTATCAGTGGTGGTGGTGTAATGACTCGGACTAAGGGCCCCCTGAAGGCATATGCAGCGCAGATAAGAAGAGGAAGCGAAAAGCACAGCGACCCTTTGATCTGTTGGGCGTCTGGGCCTTCGGACGGATAGGCGACATGTATGAATGAGGGTCATTGATTGCGACTTTACGTGGTCTTGACATATAGAAATACGGGGCATTTCCGCTTGTGTCATGAAGAGGCGATGGGACCGTAAAGAAGATGCACACGAATACCATCTAGAGTTGGAAAGTGATGAATAATTAGTATTGTCCCTATACATGCCCACGACTACCAGCTAGAGCTGTAAAGCGGAAAATGCGTCTTACTTCCTTTGTGAGAAAGTGAGGTGCTGAGTGGTACATCCCCAAAAATGAACAGATGTCACATTGGAAGCCCGTCCAAACAACGCATCAATCTGCCGGGCGTGCTGTCTGGGCTAGCAATTATTCTTATGTATTGACAATAGTCATCGAGTGGAAACGAGATCCTGATCGCCAACAGACCACAACCGAAGATCAGTGAACAGTGTATCTATCCGTGACCACAATACCTTCTAACAATTGAGGATCACCAGATTTACTGTCCCATACGATTGAATTCCGCTTGTCGATGATGACCAGATTACCGTCATACCGAAGCTTACTGCAAAGCGTGTGGTCGATGAGTGAGCATTGATCACCCAAAGTCTCAGAACGGTACCATTTACACGTACAGAAGATGGATACCCGTGCTGCCAGATGTAGAAGAATCGTACAAAGACAGAGAGATTGAACTTAATAGCGGAAGTCCATAGTAATCAGTCCTATGTATGCGCTAAACCACAATACCAAATCATATAGGCCATTACAAAAATTAGGCATACACCGTATATCCGCAGACCTATAATACGATCTTCCAGACCAAAACCACCGCAAGTACTATACATCCGCAAATCTGCTACAACAGACCATTCAGGTAGAACGCAACTGCTATCGCATGCACTAACTATCCGCAAACCTATTATACCGATAGCACCGTTTGACAGGCTGTACACCTATCTAATACGCCATACCATTTAACAAACTATACATCTATCTGATGCGCCATACCATTTAACAGGCTGTACATCTATCTAATACGCCATACCATATAACAGGCTGTACACTTATCTAATACGCCATACCATTTGACAGGCTGGCACCTATCTAATACACCATACCATTTAACAGGCTGTACACCTATCTAATACGCCACACCATTTAACAGGCTGTACACCTATCTAATACGCCATACCATTTAACAGGCTGTACACCTATCTAAAACGCCATACCATTCAACAGGCTGTACACTTGTCTAATACGCCATACCATTTAACAGGCTGTACACCTATCTAATACGCCATACCTCCTAACAGGCTGTACATCTATCTAATACGCCATACCTCCTAACAGGCTGTACACCTATCTAATACGCCATACCATTTAACAGGCTGTACATCTATCTAATACGCCATACCATTTGACAGGCTTTGTGATCTCGGGATCTTCAGGTTGGACCGACCATACGACAGCACCCTGAGCGTTCACCAGCGACAACTTGCCTTCCTCGGTCAGAAACAGCGCAGTACCGCCGAGACCTGCACGACAACCAGAAGCAAGTGCGTGAGTTTCGATACAATTGAAAACCTTAAGCGCCTCGCCAACCGCTACCAAACCGGTGACATAGGTCACCTCTACTCAGTAGTAAGTTTCACATCAAGCCCAGGAACCTTTGTACAATAATAGGTGATAGCTGTCCAATTGGCTTCTGCGGTGTTTTTGTACCGACCGCTCACACAGGACATCTCTGCTCAGCAGGGTATTCAAGGGTATTGTGTATATCTTCTCCGTACGCCTATGGGGTTCGTAGCGAAAATGTGCGTACGCGACGCCACTAAGAAAAGTGTTCTCCATGTATTTGGTGTGTGTGTTCTTTACATACAGTTTACACTGTTAGATGTTATCTGCCCAACTGGCTTCTGTGTTTTGCTCGCGCACAACTCGGTTTCACCAGCTCAACTACGGTCTGGAGAAAGCACGCGTATGCAACCGAAATATCATGAGGTGTACAAACTATGTGTTCTACTGCCGATACACAGCATGAATAGGTAGGGGCATCGACTAGCCTGCTTGGCTCTCTACACATACCGGAAGTTCTGGGCTCCCACACGCGATTGTCATTCATTGTGATTAACAGATCGCCGCTGACATCTATGCTAAATGTGGCACCAGAGGCAGACTTAAGGCCTTCGTTGGGTTTAATACAGTCCCCTGGGAAGAGGGTGTCGGCTGTGACAAGACAGATTATATATTAATTATTTGCATTTATGATTTAGATATATGACTGTATTCGGTATGTATACAATGATGAATAAACGTGTATGATCAAGGACGAGTATGCACATACAAACAATATAAGCATCGCATATGGCAGAACGACAGTAATAAATGAGCGACGCTGTACCACGCCCTACACGCTCTCGCGCAGATGACTTATTGATCGTTGTGAGAGGATCACAACATTACCTGAGAAAACATATTTGCCATATTTCAACCACAGTCTGGACAAGGCGCCAGCCACTACGAGATGAACATTGACGAAAAACAATACGAAAGACCAGGTGTGTTTTATTGTCTACGCAATACAGGCGAAGAGAAATCGGCCGTTCGAAAAAAACACAGAGAAAGTAGCATAGTATAATAGTATGAGTGACTAGATTCACTTTAGTATACACTCCAATACATTCCCAATGCTCACAACGGTCGGGTTGTGTGTGACTGGTGGTAGCGAAGTCTGATACGATACAAACTGTTTCAATTATTCCCAGGACTGCCTGGTTCACGATGCTATGTTAAGCTGAGGGAAGTTGAATGGAAATTGAGCCGAAATTCGAATGCCGGCACATACAGAGTACAGGTATTCCCGGAAGGTGGTCGACAAGTGCATACATAGAGGGCCTGGGGTTATAATCCTGGAAATCAGACAAAGTATGGGACACTAGCATTAGGCAATGCACGAATAAAATTCAAACCATATTGCATCCATCAAGACGCATCACTTGAATATATAAATTATTAAAATATATATATATATATATATATATATATATATATGTATATATATATATATGTGTGTGTAGTGTGTGTTGTGTGTGTGTGTGTGTAGTTGTTAGTTAGTTAGTTTAGTTATATTATTATATATATATATATATATATGTGTGTGTGTGTGTGTGTGTGTGTGTGTGTGTGTGTGTGTGTATGTATACATATATATATATACGTCTATATCTAAAAGTATCTATCTCGATACTAATGCAACGGGGACAGTACGCAGAGCTCTCGCTGTTTTCGGGAGAGAAGCACGGGGCTAAATGACAGGCGCTGTGGGGACATACCTTCTTGTGGTGCGCAAACAGAGCTGTCAAGTTGTGCCTCTCAACGAGTTGTTTGATTTCCGTCGCCAGTAACACCGGCGGTTGGCCTAAGACGTTTATAAGAATAGAACGGTTACAGACAGCTGTCGCAGGGTTGGTGTGGGGAGTGTGTTGCGCTAGCTACAACGAACGAGCAGTACATATGAACCCACAGCGTGAGTGTGACCCAGACTTACGTACCAGCCAGACAGATGTTTGTGTACAAGTGGACGAAATATACTGCCGTCTGTACGGGTGTCCTATCAACGAACTCGCATGATCATGCAGATATTCAAGACGGTTACCTACGCTATTCGGGCACTGAGTGATGTGTGTATACTCAGACTCGCTAGTATCACCATCCATATGGACGTCGCAGATGCAAGGATGCATGCAAAGTTCGTGACAAAGCACGTACAGCGTTTGACATCATTGAGCGCATGTAATTGCAGATACGACATTTGGGTGAGATATTCGCACGCAATTGGGATATACACGTTGACTGACGACACGCGCCAAGGCCTTGACCGCTTTCCATCGATAAGACAGATAGACATGGTCATGTGCACGCAGATGCTCGGGTAGCATCCCTATCTTGGCTGCTAAGTGCATGATGTATACGTCTATGGGGGAAGGTAAATGCTATCCTTGGGTGAAAGAATTACTACGACTCCGATGATCCAACTGAAGCAGGGGCATTACCACGACCAGCTAGTGCAAGGCAAATGCATAAAACACTTTATATACATGCGAATATAGTCCACTAATTCATATACATATACATATAGTTCACCAAAGCATCTGAGTAAACACACCTGAAATTAAAGCAGGGGTACTTACATAGCCCGATAGTTGAAAATCATAAACGTGCATAACTCTTTTAACTTCAGTGATCAAAGTTGTGCAAGAGGCAGTACCACGACGACAATTATATGACAACACCCCCGTACACGAACACACTACGTCACCTTTATATATATATATATATATATATATATATGTATGTATGTATGTATGTATGTATGTATATGATCCACCGAAGTGTCTGAGTGCGCGCATCTGGGGCTAAGGCAGAGGTGTTGTCCCAATCCGATAATTTGGACGCATAGATGTATATATTCATATACATATACATATCCATACACATATACATGACTGACTATACACACCCGTGCCAAGGCATGGATACTAGCACAGCAAGAAGAATAAATCGGATAGAAATTTATATCACCAAATACGTACATTTATATAGTGTGTGTGTGTGTGTGTGTGTGTGTGTGTGTGTGTGTGTGTGTGTGTGTGTGTGTGTGTGTCGGGGTGTGTGCGTGTGTGTGTGTGCGTATGTGTGTGCGTGTGTATGTGTGTGTAAGTGTGTGTGTGAATGTGTCTGATTATACATACCTACTGCTAAAGCATGGATACTATCATGACCCCGCATACAATTCTAGAATCAGACGCATACACATGTACATATACACATACATGTCTGAATATACACTCCTGGTGCAAAGGCAAGGGTGCTATCTTGACCAGAGAGTATAAAAGCATAGAAGCCTATATATTTAAATACCAATACATATACAAATAGGACACAAAGTGTTTGACCATACACACCTGGTGCTAAGGCAGGGGTGTTATCATGACCCTAGAGTATAAAAGCATAGAAGCCGATATATTTAAATACAAATATATATACAAATAGGACACAAAGTGTTTGACCCTACACACCTGGTGCTAAGGCAGGGGTGTTATCGTGACCAGAGGGTTTGAAGGCGTAGAAGTCTTTATCGACACCAACCGGTGAGGGTGCATCAAACCCTTGATAGGCGGCCGTCGCCTCAGGCCCAGCCATTATGATCTGCTCCTATTATTTTATAGTATATAGTAGCCAGCACTGTGTTGTATGTCACCTCTCTCTGCAACACATTATCTCGTTGAAGTGTGTGAAGGTGTGAAGGTATGCACCACACGTTAATACTAGTTGTTTATGTCTAGGTAGAATAGATATCAACTATCTATATGCATACATATGAGCACTCTCGCGTATGTACATATTACATACGAACACTTTCTCGTATATTTATAGGCATGTATTTATGTATTTTTGACCGCTTAGATCTACGTTTTGAGTTTTCTCTCTAGGGTTTTAGCGTGAACCGTTCCCGTTTCCCGCCGCAAACATTTTATTATAGCTCTAATTAATCTATACGGATAAATAAGCGTTTACGTTTAACTTTTATCAAATTATGCCCCGGTATATTTTACTATACTTTTTCTCAGAACGTAAATATTATATATAAAAATAAACACTCGTCAGAAAACAGGTACCGTTACTACCGTATGGACTCGTATTTATTATATGTGAAAGTATCGCCGTTATCTCAACTAGATCAGTGGCAACTAATTGACATACACTGGACAGCAACTGCGCTCGCGACACTTAGAGCACAACAAACCTACAGTAAATATCTTGGTATATGTATATGCGTACATGTACACAGCGTAAGAATGGCGAATTTGAGGACCGGAGAGTATTCATCTCCGCGCCAGAACGGCGAAATGGGTTTTGACTCCCCAGCGAGAGATGAGGTGAGCAATATGCTATCAAGCTGTATGATGCGGCCTGGTTCACTGACATGCATCATGTCTTCATAGCTGTTAGTGCAAATATGTATTATCAAAGATTTATTTGTATACTTACCAACTGGATAGCGTTGATATAAAAGTATTCGATGAAGTCAATTTACATGTTGCCTGTTGACTATCTTGTAAGTGTGGGTTGGAGAGTATATTGAGGAAAGTGGATGCATACAATGATAGCGGGTATATTGTCGCTCTACTAATTTTAATACATTCTGATCACAAAAATGCGCTTAATTTTTCAACGCACGACGAACATACGTACAGGTGTATGTACACGTGTATATATATATATGTGTGTGTGTGTGTGTGTGTGTGTGTGTATATATATATATATGTGTGTGTGTGTGTGTGTGTGTATNTATNTGT